ACAGAAGGGGGCATTAGGAACCCTCCCTCAAACCGCCTACTTTGGGGTATGGTCATTCTCATCAACCCTCTCCTCTCCTCTCCATATCTGCTGCTTCTTAAGATACACTTCCTCCCCCCACACCAAGACTAAAATCTCAACAGTCTAATGACTCCGAGTCAGGAAATGATTAAGGTGAAGGGATTAGAAAACAGAGTGTTGTACATAAGGCAATGCAAATCAGAAGGGGAATGTCTGACCTACCTTGCTGGCATCCAGGTCAGTGGTATGTTTCATTGTTCGGGGGTCATATCCATTGTGTCGCTCTTGTATCACAGGATCAAACAGCTCAGCAAATACCTGATGAGGAATTAAGAGGGAGAGGGTGGTTAAAGAGAGGGGATCCCTTTCCAGGCTTTAGCTGTGGACTGATTTCACTGGGTCAGAAAACGTGCGTATGGAAGGTCCAGCCTTAAGGGAAAGTGAAGGGTCTGTAGGGGGAAGGAGCTGGGATTACTGGGAAGATGAGTTGGGTCACCAGGGAGACTCTGGGGGCCCCCTACCTCATAGGTCTCCTCATCTCCAGCTACCATGCCCACAGTCTTGATGAAGGGGTGGCCGGGGTTGTCCACGCCAGTCTGGATACACTGATCTAGCGTCCAACCAGTGGGTGTGGTCTTGTCGCAGAGCCGGGCATAGACTGCTGGGGTCAGGTGACTGGCCATGCAGTTGTTGTGCTTTCGGAGGTCTGGGTACTCAGCGCTAGGGAGGGGGTACCCAGTAACCATGGAGGGAGAGCACAGGGGGCCTAGACCCAGGGCAGTCAGCTGGGAGCTATCCAGTTAGCCATGACTGGCTTTGCTCCTTGGGAAGAGGGGAGATTAGAGGGAGCCTAAACCTTGGTAATCTCTTTACGGACTTTCAGGGTCTATTCTTTCCCAACAGTTCTAGCTTCCTCTTGCTAACCGGCTCAATTCCCCCAGATTTGCTCAGTTCATTCCTACCATTAACACGACATTAGGGATGGGGGAGGGGAAAGACCAAGGAGGGGAATTCAGGAAATGGGGGGAAACAGCAGGAAAGCGAAAAGGATAGTTCCTGGTTTCTCAATTAGGGATTTGGGCAGAGTGGGTGCAGCCAGAACTCACAGGGCCAGAGCGGGTCTTGGGGGCGGGGACTGCGGGTTACAGGTCCCCAGGAAAGCGTTTAACCTCACGGTTTTGGTCTCAATCCCTAACCCACTGAGGTCTCCAGACTCTACAGCACTCCACTCCAGAGCCTTCGTGATTATAACCCTTCTCTGTTGCCCAGGTCCTCATCTCCATCCCCACCTTCGTTCCCGTCACCACCTACCACCCACCCCACCCCCCGGCCACCCGCCACCCCTGAGCCTCAGACACTGATACCTCGGGGGATACAGCCTTCGTCGTTCACTGGCGGCTCTTACAGGTTCAGGGCGGAGCAGAAACCCAGCGGCTAGAGACCCAGCTCCAGCCAAAGCCAGGAGCCTGAGCCCGGGGCGGGCGGACAGCAGACGAGAAAAGGGACCAGCCATGCCTTGAGGGTCCGGTTACTCAATCCCGGAGCGGGAGCTGGCGGAGGGCAGGAACGGGGAGGGAGGATGCAACCCGGAGGATTGAGGACCGGAACTCGATGCGAGGCTGGAGCCGAAATGGGGGCCGGAGTGGAGGCTGGAGCGGGAGATGGAGCGTGTTCCAACCAGACTGCAGGAGAGGCGCAATGAGCTAGCGCCGGGTGGTGGAGGAGAGGGAGGCCCCAGCCGCAGTCTCCAGGGGTGGGGCTCACGCAGGCTCCGCCTTTCCTCCTGCGACCGTGCTAGGTGTGCGGGGGCAGAGGAGGTAAGCACCGCCAGGTAGATTAGGGGACCGGAGCTCCCCAACTCTAGGCCTGGGATGCGGGCCAACTTGAGAGGAGGTCGCCCAGATTTCAGCACCAAGTACAGGACAGCACCCGAGGGGACCCGAGAAAGCCGAACACCCTTCCCCCAAGCTTCTCCACTTAATCGGGAACCCGATTCGTCACTCTGGGTGTGAAAGGGTGACATTGCACAACCTCTTCTCTAGTTTTTGGCCTTCCCCAGTAACCTCTTCATATTCTCACGGGAGGCGGCCGCTGGAGAAACCGCAGAATAAGTACAGATACCAGAGAAAGACAGGAAGAAAATACACAGGCAGACACTGGAAAAGACACCGGTGGCTCAAGGTCACCTTTTCCTTAGAACCAGGAAGAGGACCAAGGAGCCCTTCTGCCACCCCTGTGCTATTCTTACAAGGTTGTGGAAGCATTCCCTAAGAGGAACCAGAGAAACATTAACTCTTGCCCATTTATATTGTGTTCCATACCCCCACTCAGCCCCCAAGCCTGAAGCCCTGTCCTGCCTCCACTTCTCATGATCTCCCGCTTTTCTCCCCCTCCTCCTCCCCAACCTCTACTTCACCTTTGATCTTTTAATTCTTCATGCTTTATCCAGGTTCAGAAGTGTTTGCTGCCCACAGGACTCCCTCTGAGTATTCTTTGCAAGCTTGCCTACCTGTTGGTTGCACTGGAAATGGAGCTTGGGGTTGGGCTGGGAATCGTTAGTTTCCTCTTTCTCCTCTCCCTTCTCTTCCCTCTTTGTAGCTTCAGTTCCTGGGCCGGAGGAGAGTGTAAGGTGAAGTGAAGGGTGTGGTAATGTGACGAGGTGTAGGAATGGAACAGGCAGGCACAGGTCTCCAACCACCACAAGTTGTTACTTTCTTGGCTTCCTAATGCTATTTAATACAGTGTGTAAAGGGGAGTGGTGTTCAAGGGCCTAAGGTTGCCAGGGAATCTCTCCCTTCCTATGGGTCCTCTGTCCTCTCTTCTCAAAAGGTGTGTATTCTGATTTGAGAGGGTGTGTTCCCACAGTTCAAAGTGTGACTTGACTTAGGTGTAACTTGACCTTTGTCCTGGCAGGAAAGAGAATGAATGCCAAAATAGAGATGTAGGGCTTCAGTATGGAAGTCAGGTAAGGTGGGGTGGGTATGGTGGTGTTAGTCCCTTATCTCAGCTATCTTGGTGTGCCCACAACATAGTAAGATACTTGGAAATCTTATTTGAGAAAGAGAAATTCCCTTCACATGGTTCTCTGGCCCCACTGAAGAGACCCTACTGAGATTCCCTTCATTTCTCTCAGGCTTCCCTTGTGTTTCTTTTTCTCCCCTTCTCATTTGCGGGTATCCTTAGAAGCCATCCACCTTTCTTTTGTGTCTGTCATTTAATTTCTTCTTCTGGTAAGAGAGCAAGTATCGGAGAACAGATAGAGTTCTACAGTTAAGAGTCTGTTTTGGAGAGATGGAAAATGTTACCTGTGGGCTCATTGTCTAGGTTAAGAAGTAGTCATGAGCAAGCAAATATAATTACTTGGAATGGTGTATGTTTACCCACATAAAGAAGGGAGATAATTTTCCAGAGTGGTAGGGTTGTTATTTGATTGAGAGGGTGGTTACTATGATTAAAGAGGTAGGAAACAAGAAGAGAGAATTACAGAAGGAAAAATAAGACTTGCCCAGAGGAATAGAGAAAGCACTCAAGTTTGGAGACTAGCCGTTCAAATTTGAATACTAGCTCCACTGAGAAAAGACATGATGTGTGTACTTTTCTTATTCTCTGTGAGCCTCTAACAGCCACATTAAAGCTCACTTTAAAAAATTATCCTATGGTATGCAGGAGGTAATTGATATATATGTATTTGATTTCTTTAATGATAATGATACCAATACTACTTAACATTTATAAAGCACTTTACAATTATAAAGAACTCTTGTATGTGTTATTTCATTGAATTGGATTGTTCCAATGGATGATCAGGGACTAAGCGTACATTTTTCAGGGTGGGGTGAGAAAGACAAGTTAATTACCTAGAAGATGGTTTAATAACTTGATTGAAAGGTTGGAGTGGTGGAGAGAACACGAGCCAGAGTAGAACTCAGGAGGATTCTATTTCCCTTAGGGACTGTCCTTAGAATCATCCCAATCTCATTCAGGATGCCTTGGGGGTCAATATAATTAGGCACCTGACTGAAAAAGTGGTAGGTGAGGTTGCAGAAGAGAAACAGGGAACTTGGAATTGTCTTGGCCAAGGAAACCTATGTAAGGATGAAAAGATAAGAATAAAAATGCAAACATATACAAAATGCTTTCATATAATCAGTACTGTATGATCAGGGTTTTTTTTTTTTAAGATTTTATTTATTTATTTCACAGAGCGAGAGAGAGTGTGAGCACAAGCAGTGGGAGTGGCAGGCACAAGGAGAGAGAGAAGCAGGCTTCCCATGGAGCTGGGAGCCTGCCGTGCTCCATCCTAGGGTCCTGGGATCATGACCTGAGCCAAAGAAGACACTTAACTGATGGAGCCACCCAGGCGCCCCTGATTAGGTTTTTAAACCACTCTCTTTCAGATGAAGAAATGGAGGCTGTTGGAAGTTCAGTGGCTTGTCCAAAGCTGCACAGCTATTAAAGGCAAGGCCAGGATTCAAACCCAGGTTTGTCTGGTGTCAAGGCTGGAGGAGGGGTAAAGAACGAGCCCAGCGTGGAGATCGGAACCATCTTGTCCAGTCTTCCCTGTCCATCCATTTTCTTGTCTCCTCCATAATAAGTCTCTTTGTTCCTTTCCTTAACTTTCTGAGTTTTCTCTTTGTCTCTTTTTGTCTCCAGTCTACTCCTCTACATCTGTTAACATTTATTGGCTAAGTATGTCATACTCCTTTTGTTTAAACAAACAAACCAACAGAAAACCTGGTTTTGTTTTCAAGGACGTGCAGTGGCACAAAATGTGCCTCTTCCTCTGCATCTTGCTTCTTCCCTGCTCTTGGTCTCCCTGTAAAGTTTCTGTCAAAAACCAAGCATCCGGGCTGTGCCGTGCCAACGCAGTTAGAAATCGGAGGAAGGGGAGCATCAGATTGCATTCCCTCCCCACAGCCGCTAGGGGACACCCTCCTCCACGCAGAAGTGCGGGCCAACGCAGCCTGACTCTGTTGCCGGTGCGCGCCCTCCGCTGATTGGTGACACCGCAGGGAAGCCGCGCTTTGATTGGGCTGCTGTCAGGTGTCGCTGACGGCAGGTTCGGCTGCGCGAGCGCAGGGAGGCGGGTGAGCTAGGGCTGGGGGCGGTGGGGGAGTGGCTGGGGGCTGGGGGCGGTATCTGAGGGGGTGGGCTGGGTAGAGTGGGCTAGGTTGGTGCTGTGGGCAGTGTTTAGTACCCGCTGGGGGCAGCTTCGGAAAGAGGCCGGGCGGAGAGGCCTCAATGTCAGCGTAGGGAGAGTAAGGCGGGGGCGGGCGAAGGCTGGTGGAGTCGCATCGGAGGGCGGTATTCGTGACCGGGAGCTCTGTGAGGAGAGACACCGGAGGGGGTCAGCGAGAGAAGAGCGGGGTTTGAGGATTTGCGGGAGGAAGAGAGAGTTCTGCGTGAGGAGCGGAGGCAGCAGAGGAGCGGGTCAGAGTGGGGAGGTCTGCGTGAGGAAGGGTGGAATGGAGTCGACGCGGGAGAGGATCGCTAGAGGCAGGGGTTGTTGCAGAGAAGAGGGGACCCTGGAGAGAGCTAGTGTGAGGACGGAACGGATCGTAGGCATTCTTTGTGGGGAATCATTGAGGGTTCGATATAAATATGTTACCAAGTGTAGTGATGACTCTGCGGGTTTCGAGAGCTGCTTAACGCTGGAGAATGACTGAATGAGAGGATTAGTTGGATTATTAATTGGATTAGTTGGTCAGTGGTGGGGGAGGGGCAGCAGTGTTGTGAGTGGTTGGAGGGGGGGTCAATGGAGAGTCACTTTTAGCAAATGAGGGGAAGAGAGAAGTATGGTTGGGTTGATAGAACAGGGCATCGGCACAGTTCATCAGTGTTAGAATATGGGTATGTATGAAGGAGTAAGCATTGCATCTAGAGGGAATTTAGGTGGGAAGAAGATCGTGTGGGTGGGCCGAGGAGTTTTATCTTGTTGGAAATATTCTGCCTGAACTGTGTATTAATGTTTCCCCCTTTAGCACTAATGGTGTCCTGTATTAAGTGCATGTCGATTAAGGAAATTAGAGGACTCCTGCAAACAACCCCGAATTCTAAGGGATAAAGAAGTTAGACAGTTTACCCTCTCTTCTGCCCTCTTAGATCTGATTTAACATCCGTGTTTCTGAGATTACCCATCTGCCTCACCCTTTCTCCCTCCCTACCTACCTTCTTCCCACTTCTGACCCTAATCTGCCTCACCCTTTCTCCTCACCTACCTACCTTCTCCCCACCTCTGACCCTCCCTTTTTTTCCGTCTATTTGCATTGATGCAGGCGGGCGTTAGACTACCCTTTAGCCCTTTTGTAGAGCTGGAAGTTTTCTTTTGTTTCGCAACAAAGTACTGAAGGAGAGGGGGATGGGGAAAAGGGCCCAGAAAACGGGAAAAGCTCTTGGAATACCACATCAAATCCCAGCCTTTCAGAGGTACATCTAAATAAATCCTGGCTTATATCATAGCTATTTCTGTCAGGCTTCTATCTTTGCTTTGTTAACTATGAATTTAGGCCTTTCCATTTCTCTTTAGCCCTATGCTTGTGAACAGACTCTTTCCCATTCTATTACACTCCACCCTGCCCAACCCCATTTTAAAGTTATAATAGAATTTCAGGAAAATGACTCTATACATTCAGTAGAAAACCAGGAAGGACTTAATGGGAAAAAAGGGTGAAGGATTAGGACTCTTAGACATGAGGGAAAACCCCTGGTTCAGATAAAGGATAAAGGGTGCAAAAAAATTCAGCTTGCTTAAACTATACAGGGACCTTGGGAATGCCATAGATCATGGAAGTTGGGTCAGGTCACTAAAAAGGAGTTCAAGGAAATAGCGTATTAATCAGGAGAGGGAAGTGTATGTGTAAGACCTGCAATAGACAACTGGAAATGTGGCAGTGGTGGTGTTTCTTTTAAGATTTTATTTGCTTACTTGAGACAGTGAGTGAGAGAGCATAAGCTGGGTGAGGGAGAGGGAGAAGATGATTCCCCACAGAGCAGGTATCCCTACATGGGACTCAATCCCAGACCCTGGGATCATGACATAGGGCTTGATCCCAGAATTCTGGGATCATGACCTGAGCTAAAAGCAAACGCTTCACTGACAGCCACCCAGCCTCCTGAGTACTGGAAATGTTAAGTCGAAGGAGCACATTGTAGTTGAGTAGTGGAGTTAAGCAGATGGTAAAGACTAGAAAGGTCAAGGTCTGCATGAAGGTTAGCTTTAACTTTCTAATCAAAGCTGCAAATCCCACTTGCAATGGAAGGATTTAAAATAAAAATACAAAGTAATTGTTGAAGACTATTTAAAAAGTCCATAAGATGAAATCCACTTACTTACGGTGTTTGTGGCTTTCACTAGAGTCATTGGTTAGTATTTCTGAGAACTTTTAGAGAATGTGAAAAATTGCTGCTGGGTGACTCAATTATATTTTTGGAAAAAAGCAGCATATACTTATCCCTGCAAGTTAGTATTAACAAATGTTAACCTTTTGTGTATTTGCCTTAGATTTTTTGACGTATTTCAAAAAATTGAAGTAAACATTACAGATAAATTTGTAAAGTTCCACTCAGATCCTTCTCACTTCATTTTCCCCTCTCAGAGGTAACCATTACCATGACTTTAATGTCTTTCTTTCCAGTCCATATTTTTAGGCTTTTACTAATTATGTATACAGTCATAAATTTATGTAATATTTTTTACTTATGCAAACTGAATTGTACTGCATGTGTATTTCTGCAGTTTGCATTTGGAAATTGTCCATATTATTACAGCTTTGATTCATTTTTAAAAACTGCTGTTTTAAAAATTGCTGTTATCATTTGTATTACTACACTGTATTTATCCATTCTACTTGTGACCTCTGAGTTTTCAGTTCTTCCTGTTACCAGGAGTAAGGTTATGAACATCTTTGCCCATGTCTTGTTATGTGGAAGAGTTTTTTACTGCAGAAATTCTCAGCCTCGACACTACTAACATTTTGGACTGGATAATTCTTTGGTGTGGGGGAATATCCTATGCATTTTAAACTGTTAAGCAGCATCCTTGGCCTCTACTCATTAGATGTCAATAGCACCAGTTGTGACAACCAAAAATGCTTCCAGTCAAATGTCCCCTGACCAACATAATCACAATTAGTTAAGAACCACTGTGGTAGGTGTGTATATAGAGAAGTGGAGCTACCAGATTGTTCTAACTCAAGTGTAAGTCTTAAGATATTCTTACTGATAATGGCTCTAGACAAAATTTTATCCCATTAGAGCTTCTGGTGTAAGGAACCTTGGCCTAGAACAGACTTGGGTCTGTAGTACCAGGACATGGTAGAGAGAAAACTGATGTTTCGGTCTAATAATGGGTAGAGGCTATTGTATGGATGCCTGTATCCTCAACCTCCCAGTCAGCACTAGACCTCTTTCCTTGGCAGATTTTTCTGGACTTGGGCATTTGTCTTTTAAAGTAGAACATGTGAGGGAGGGACAGAGGTTATAGAGGATTTTAATGTTCTGATATAATGCTAAGGACATAGGGTTCCCTTAGTAAGTCTTTTTTGAGTTAATCCTTGGTAGGAATGAAGATGGGGCTTAAGGTCAAAAGCAGTTGAGCTCTCACATTCCCTCTGCCCTTTAATTAAATTGCTGAGTTCAACACTACTGTGGGGAGATGGTAAAGGGATAGGAACATTTTGGAATGAATCCAAAATGGGAAATGTCACTCTAATCTTTTCTTCTGGTAGGAATCAACAGTAGCCTTCAATGAGGAACTGCCTTTTCCATTTGCTGCTGGAGTTAATGCTGTTTCCTGCTGGTGGAATCGGGGACATGCCAGCACTGTAAGGGTTAACCTGCTTATTCTCTCACCAGTCTCATGGTTGAGAAAAGGAAAACCTTCCTTTTTTCGTAGGCATTTTTAGTCATGTCAAGTCATAGCCTGTCAAGTCATAACTCATGTGCCTCCTTTCCTGTTGCTCCTTCCTTTTTTTTTTTTTTTAAGATTTTATTTATTTATTTGACAGAGAGAGATCACAAATAGGCAGAGAGAGGGGGGAAGCAGACTCCTTGCTGAACAGAGAGCCCAATGCAGGGCTCGATCCCAGGACCCTGAGATCATGACCTGAGCCAAAGGCAGAGGCTTAACCCACTGAGCCACCTAGGCACCCCTGTTTCTCCTTCCTATCATAGTTTTGTTTCGTTTCCCCTAGTCTCCTTGTGGTTCCCTCTTTATCACTCTGCATGCCCCATTCCCACCACTCTAATGGTGTTTGGATTCTGAGCTAATGGGATCCCTCCATTGCAGAGCGGGATGAGTGGGTGCTCCGGCGGGGATGTGGTCACTGCCGGCCAATGAGGGCGAGAGTGCCACAGCCCACTTCTTCCTGGGAGCTGGAGATGAGGGCCTGGGCACCCGTGGAATAGGCATGAGGACAGAAGAGAGTGACAGCGAGCTCCTTGAGGATGAGGAGGATGAAGTGGTAAGACTAAGGAAAATAATGTAACTTGGTGTTGGGACCCTTTTCATAGAGAGTTGAGATTCCATTGGTTGGAGACACTTCTCTGCTCTCTTGAGATGCATAGGTTTCCTGTTATAAACAGGCCTTATCCCGATTAAGTGGAGAGGCAGTAGAAATTGGTTAGATTACTTCTCTTTGAATCCCCTGCCATTATGCTCTCATCCTGTTATATCATTGTTATTGGTTCTCTGGCTCTTTTGCCTGAGCACACATTTCCTACCATGGAAAGACTCCTGTTCTTTAGGCAGTAGGAATCCCTATATGTACTCCATTCTAGACTGAGTTAGGAGACAACATTTACCCCATAGGTCCAAAGTCCTGGCAAGGAACTCTGTGCCCAGAGGAGATGAGATGGAGTTCCTTAATAGGGATGGTCTCAGTGGAAAGTTCTTAAGTTCCTGACAATACTTCTTCTCTATAGCCTCCTGAACCTCAGATCATTGTTGGCATCTGCGCCATGACCAAGAAATCCAAGTCCAAGCCAATGACCCAAATCCTAGAACGACTCTGCAGGTTTGACTACCTAACTGTTATCATACTGGGAGAGGATGTGATCCTCAATGAACCTGTGGAAAACTGGCCATCTTGCCACTGCCTCATCTCTTTCCACTCCAAAGGTTGGAGTCTGTGAAGGAAAATGGGAGGGAATAGAGTTGGGAATGGTGGACTGGGAAATTACTGTCAAATAGTACAGAGGTCATCAGCTCTTCCTGACAGACTGGAGAACAGTGCAGAGAGGTTTGCTTTCCCAATAATCATGGAAGAGTTGCTGGAGGTGGTTTAAAGGTCTCATGTGAAGCTCAGAATCTAAGTCTCTGAGGGTCTCTGACTGAACTGTGTCTCTGGAAGGACCCTAAAAATACTATCTTTTTCACTTTTTCCTGATGGATATTCTAGACTTGGGAAGTTGGGCAGAAGGACAAGTAGTTGGTTGGATGGGTGGAGGAGCTTAGTGGGAACTTTAATACATCTATTTCTCTTGATCTTTTCTCACTCTTTTTCACATTTTTTCTTTGATCTATTTCCTTTGTCTATCCCAGGATTTCCTCTGGACAAAGCTGTTGCTTACTCCAAGCTTCGAAACCCCTTTCTTATCAATGACCTGGCTATGCAGTATTACATCCAGGATAGGTATAGCTTTCTGTTGATTGGTGGGATGGTTGGCCCTGAGATCATATCCGTTTAGAGAGCCCTCTCTGGGAGGGGCAGAGTCAAACAAACATGCCTAATTTTTGTATCATGCCCTCTTGAGTTCTCTACCCTGATATCTACCAGTTCCTCAGCAAATGAAATCCCTAGCCTCTTCCCTTGGTCACGATTGCCCACCTCTCCCAGCTAATTTATTTGGGGGCAACAGGAGGGAGGTTTACCGGATCCTGCAGGAGGAAGGCATTGATCTGCCTCGGTATGCTGTGCTCAACCGGGACCCTGCCCGGCCTGAGGGTGAGTACGTGGCTTTGTCCAGTCCTGCCCTGCCTTGCGTTCTATGACTTACCCCGGTTGTCCATCCTCTAGACATCTCCATATACTACTTATCTCAGTGAGCCTTTGGTTATTGGGTTATGTGTAGAGTTAGAGCTATGGGTCCTTTAACAGAGCCTTGGACCTCTTATGTAAGTACTACTATATTTATATGCCACATAAATATTGCCGTACCTATTACTAACATATGGTCATAGAAATTGGGGGGTTATGGAGATTAAAACTCAGAGAAATGGGAGTTGGAAGTATTCTACAATTCTCAACCCTGGAGATGACCACATACCTGTCTTTCAGAATGCAACCTGATAGAAGGTGAAGACCAGGTAGAGGTAAATGGAGCTGTCTTCCCTAAGCCCTTTGTGGAGAAGCCAGTGAGTGCAGAGGACCATAATGTTTACATCTACTACCCCAGTTCAGCTGGAGGAGGAAGTCAGCGCCTCTTCCGTAAGGTATGGGAGACATTTGAGCATTTGGGGAAGTCAGATAGGTAGAAGAACAAGAATGTGGTTGTGGGGAGGGAAGCTGGAGGATGTGAGGACAATGTGGAGGCAACACTTTTTTCTTCCTTTTCTTCCTGAAGATTGGCAGCCGAAGCAGCGTTTACTCTCCTGAGAGCAGTGTCCGAAAGACAGGATCATACATCTATGAGGAGTTTATGCCAACAGATGGCACAGATGTCAAGGTTATGGTGGATATAGGGATTTAAGAAGTCACAAATGTCTGGGTGGGATGGGGTGCTTGGGAAGCAAGTAGAGGTGTATGGAGAGAGTCATAGAAAATAAAGCATGAATGTGATTTGCTTTTGTATTCGGGTGAAGATAGTGAGAGAAGTGGACCTTTACATGTTACTATCAGAACAAGGGCAATGGTAGTGTGGAAAATGGTATAATGTTGGTAAGTTATTTCTTAACGAGGACTAGATCTGGAGGCCCAAAGAGAAACCTTCATAAAGATATTTTGGTGGGACTCAGTGAGAAAAATGTTGGTCTCCTTGTTCTTTGTACTCAGAGTTTTTTATTTTTGTTTTTACTCTGAAACTAGTTTTCAGACTTAGTGCTCATATTATCTTCTCATATGCAGGATGAGCGGTGGGCATACTCAGTGATGCTATGTACCTGCAGGTATATACAGTGGGGCCTGATTATGCCCATGCTGAAGCCAGAAAATCTCCAGCTCTGGATGGGAAGGTTGAGCGAGACAGTGAAGGGAAAGAGATTCGATATCCAGTCATGCTGACTGCCATGGAAAAGCTGGTGGCCAGGAAAGTCTGCGTAGCTTTTAAGGTGGAGGAAGGCCCATGGTGGGGGGTGCTGTGGAATGAGGGCACAAGACAGGAGCAGGGGTCTGGGAAGAAAGAGTGGCTCTCTTGTTTTCATCTTGCCTCTTTCCACTGCAGCAAACAGTTTGTGGTTTTGACCTTCTTCGTGCCAATGGTCACTCCTTTGTGTGTGACGTCAATGGCTTCAGTTTTGTCAAGAATTCAATGAAATACTATGATGACTGTGCCAAGATTCTGGGGTAAGGGGCACAGTGGTCTGGATTGGGCAGAATGGGCTTAGAGAAGAGAGTTAGAAAGCTTTTGTTTTATTTTAAATATTGTAAAAAGGACTTATGAGTGAGAAAGGAAGACAGGAAAAGGGCTCCTTACCTTCTTGCCTTCCTAACGTCGCACTCCCCAGTTAAAACTGTTAACAATTTTATACATACCAATGTGTCTTCTTCTCCCATGTATAAGCAAACTATATTTATTGTACTAAATGTGATCATACTGTAATACTGTTTTGAAACTTTTTTTTTTAATTTACCACATGTTATTTAAAAATGTGGAAAGAATGATGAATATAGTGAGTATTCATGTGTTCACTGTCAAGCTTTAGAAATAGAATATTAAGAATTGGGGTACCTGGGTGGCTCAGTTGGTTAAGTGGCCGACTCTTGATTTCTGCTCAGGTCATGATCTCAGGGTCCTGGGGATCGAGCCCTGTTTTGGGCTCCATGCTCTGTGGGGAGTCTGCTTAAGGATTCTCCCTCTCCCTGTGCCCCTCCCCCTGTTACATTCTTTGTCTCTAAAATAAATAAATAGATCTTTTTTTTTTTAAGATTTTATTTTATTTTGTTTGATAGAGAGAGACACAGTGAGAGAGGGAACACAAGCAGTGGCGGTGGGAGAAGGGAGAAGCAGGCTTCCTGCCAAGCAGGGAGCCCGATGTGGGGCTTGATCCCAGGACACCAGGATCACGACCTGTGCCAAAGGCAGCCGCCTAACAACTGAGCCACCCAGGCACCCCTAAATAAATAGATCTTAAAAAAAAAAAGAATATAGTTGAGGCCCATACCTTCCCCTTGCTAGTTACATCCCTTTCCCTCCCACCCAGATATAACCACAATCCTTAATTTGGTGTTTGTCATTCCCATGCATTTTTTTTTAAGATTTATTTATTTTAGAGAAAGCGAGAGTGTGTGAGAGAGAAAGCGGGGGAAGGGACATAGGGAGAGAATCTCAAGCAGACTCCCCAGTAAGCACAGAGCCTAATGTGAGGCTCAGTCTCAAGACCCATGAGATCATGACCTGAGCCGAAACCAAGTGTCGGAAACTTAACCAAACAAACCGCCCCTGTCATTCCCATGCATTTGTTAATACTTTACTACATCTACAGGGAGTTTGGGGGGCGTGTTTTTAGACTTTATATAATGTATTCTTCTATAACTTGCTAGTTTTTGTGAGCTTTATTCACATGTGTGCTGCTAGTTCATTCATGCAGTTCTTCATGTTTCTCCTTCTAGGAACACCATCATGCGGGAGCTTGCTCCACAGTTCCAGATCCCATGGTCCATCCCCACAGAGGCTGAGGACATTCCCATTGTCCCTACCACATCTGGCACTATGTGAGCAAAAGTATAAAATCTGGAGTAACCTACTTAAGGCACCTGAGTCAAACCAGTGGTTACTTTCTGACACTGTACCATCTGACTAGTGGAGCCTGGGTGTCTTCCAGGCATTTTCCTTGACCTTGCCTATATGCCTAATCTCAAGATAGTGTTTCCTCTGTTCTTTGACATGTCAAATAAGATGAAATGATGAGAGTTGGCGTGGAGTGGGTTGGAGGAGAGGCTCTAACAACATTCCCTATCTTAGGATGGAACTTCGTTGTGTCATTGCAATTATCCGTCATGGGGATCGTACCCCCAAACAGAAAATGAAGATGGAGGTGACACATCCAAGGTAGGAAGAATGTCCTAATTTAGACAGATGCATTCTTATAAAGGAGATGGGGATGGGGCAGCTCCCCAAGGTTTTAACTGTCTCACCCCATACTGAAGCTTTTCCTTATTTCTTCAGATTTTTCAGTCTATTTGAAAAACATGGTGGCTACAAGACGGGTAAATTAAAGCTGAAGCGGCCTGAGCAGCTACAGGTAATGTGGTGACTAGCTGGGAGGAGCAGTGCTACAGAAAAGATAGAGAAAATAGGATTGGGTGCCTCAATGAGAGGCCAGGATGAAAGGGTAACTTGCCAGGACTTGGGCTCCGGCATGGATGTCCTGTTATTTCCTCTAGGAGGTGCTGGATATCACAAGGCTGTTACTGGCTGAACTGGAGAAAGAACCAGGTGGTGAGATCGAGGAGAAGACTGGGAAACTAGAGCAGCTGAAGTCTGTCCTGGAGATGTGAGAAAGGGAATAGGAAAGGGGAGCCAATAACAGTGAGAACTGGGTGCTGGGGTACAAAGTAAACTGTGAGTTTATCCTACAGGTATGGTCATTTCTCTGGGATCAACCGGAAGGTGCAGTTGACCTACTATCCTCATGGAGTAAAAGCTACTAATGAGGGGCAAGGTAAGATATAATACCCCCTTCCCATTACCATTCAAGTCTCCTCTTATTCTTAAACCTTTAGATGACTTCTACCTCAAATCACCTTTCTGGGCTCCTCAGAAGTCCTGACATTTAGACATCTCCACTATTTTCTTTAGATGAGACCTATTCTTTGCCCCTTATTCCTGCAGACCCACAGCAGGAGGCCCTGGCCCCATCTCTACTGCTGGTACTGAAGTGGGGGGGAGAACTGACTCCTGATGGCCGTGTTCAGGCTGAGGAGCTGGGGCGAGCTTTTCGCTGCATGTACCCTGGAGGACAGGGTGAGTATTTTGGAGGTAAATAGCAGGGCCTGGGTAAGATGGTTAGAGAATAAGTTGATGGAATGAACATTTAGAGGCAATGGGGAAGTTAATGGGGGAAAGAGCATTCTTTCTTCCATGTGGGTATTTACAGCAGTCCATTCCTCTTCCTCCCCTTTACCCTCAGGTGACTATGCTGGCTTCCCCGGTTGTGGGCTACTTCGTCTCCATAGCACTTTCCGCCATGATCTCAAGATCTATGCCTCTGATGAGGGCCGTGTCCAGATGACTGCTGCTGCCTTTGCCAAGGTGAATGCTTAACAGTTCTCCCACAGTCCCAGCTTCCATTAGGTAGAGAAAACAAGAGTTTGGAGATCTAGTTAGAAGATGTTAGGATGTTTATGTGCTGTCTCAGAGAAGTTTCTGCTTGTGTCTAACACATTCTATACTACTGAGAATAAGCTGAGAATAATTAGTGGGGATAGGCCCCTTGACCTGTACTCCTCCTCTCCAAGCCAGCTCCCATTTGATCTCTGGGATCTAGGCCTTCTAGGCCTAGATGAAGTAGACTGGAAGGAAAACTAATAGATGGCATGCTTCCTTTCCAGGGCCTTCTGGCTCTAGAAGGAGAGCTAACACCCATTTTGGTACAAATGGTGAAGAGTGCCAACATGAATGGGCTCCTAGACAGCGATGGTGATTCCTTGAGCAGCTGCCAGCATCGGGTGAAGGCTCGACTGCACCATATTTTGCAGCAGGATGCACCTTTTGGTCCTGAGGACTACGATCAGGTCAGGCTCTCCTTATTTTTGTGCCCAACCTACCCCCATCCCAAATTCCTAGAATTCTAAGTAGTAGTGATCAATAATGATAGGCACTGCTTTCTGTACATTATCTCCTTTAATCCTTACCCTTTGAGGTAAGTATAGTCTATAATCTCTTATCTACAATTTCAGAAACAAAAAAAAGATTGGGCACCAAGATTTATTTGGTAGCAAAACCTGACATGATAAGACTATTTCTAATTCCTGTTTATTTTGTTTAGTGTAAATAGTCATATATTGTGCTGCAGAAATATAAATATGTTTAGTTATGCCCTAAGCCCTATTGGAGGTATTATATAATATGTGGCATATGTACTGTATTAATTTCCTAAAGTTTGAAAATTCTCAGTTCCAAAACTCAGCAGGTCACAAGGTTTCTGAATGAAATAATGTTTCATTTGTTTATTGATGCATAAAAAACTATCCCAAACTCAGTGACTTAAAATAATATCCATTCTATTATCTTACTCATAATCCTAGGCTCAGCTGGTCTTGACTGGGGTGTCCCCTAAAATTGCCCTGCTATTGGCCAGGTTTTGGGGCTGAAACCATCTGAAGGCTCAACTGGGTTGCTAAGATGGCTGGACTTTGTCCTTCTTGCTCTCCCTATAGTCTTCTCCTCCTCCTTGCTCTCCCTATAGTCCCTGTAGTCCCTATAGGGGATCAAGCCCCTGCATTGGGCTCCCTGCTCAGCAGGAAGCCTCTTCTCCCTCTCCCACTCCCCCTGCTTGTGTCCCCTCTTTCACTGTCTCTCTCTGTCAAAGAAAAAAAGAAAAAATCTTTAAAAAAAAAAAGATTTTACTAATTTGTCAGAGAGAGAGCACAAGCAGGGGAAGCAACAGGCAGAGGACGAAGTAGGCTCCTCGCTGCACAAGGAGCCTGATGTGGGACTCAATCCTAGGACCTTGGAATCATGCCCTGAGCCAAAGGCAGATGCTTAACCGACTGAACCACCCAGTCATCCCATAGCCAGACTTCTTAAATGGTAGTTTAGGACACCGCAGAAGCAGAAGCTTCCAAGCTGGTTTTTTTTTAAAGGATTTTATTTTTTTAATATTATTTTTAAAATTGTATTTATTTATTTGAGCACACATGCACACATTTGGAGGGAGGGGCAGAGGGAGAGGGAGAAAGAGTTTTTTAAGCAGACTCGGTGCTGAATGTGGGGCTCAACCCTGAGATCATGACCCAGCCAGAACCAAGAGTCAGATGCTTAACTGACTGTGCCACCCAGGTGCCTGTATTTTTTTTTTAAGATTTTATTTATTTATTTGACAGACAGAGATCACAAGTAGACAGAGAGGCAGGCAGAGGGGGAAGGAAGCAGGCTCCCTGGTGAGCAGAGAACCCAATGCGGGGCTTGATCCCAGGACCCTGAGATCCTGACCTGAGCTGAAGGCAGAGGCTTAACCCACTGAGCCACCCAGGCATCCTGGTGCCCCTGTTTTTAAGGTTGTGATCTCATGTTTGTGAGCTCGAGCCCCACATCAGGCCACCCTCACTAGGGAGTCTGCTTGAGATTTTCTCTCCCTCTCTACATGCCCCTCCTGCTCATGCTCTCTCTCTCTCAAATAAATTTCAAAAAATACTTTATTTTTAAGTAATCTCTACACCAAATGGGCTTGAACTCACAGCCTCAAAATCAAAGAGCTGCATGCTCCACCAACTGAGCCAGCCAGGGGCCCCTTCCAAACTCTTTTAAAAAAGTGTAGGCCCAGAATTAATTAATATAATGTAACTTTGTGGTTCTGTTGTTGTTGTTTATTGGTTGCAAGCAGTCACAGGGCTTGTGCAGATTCTAGGCAAGGGAAGGTGACAAAGAATTAATGACTATATTTAATCCACCATAAGAACTGTGGACTTGTACTACTTTTCTCCCATTTTAGAGATGAGAAAACTTAGGCTCAGAAGAATTGAAGGAACCTTTCCAAGGTCACCCAGCTAGTATGAACCCAAGGAGTCTAATCTGAGAGCCCAGGCTGTTAGCCACTATAGTGCATTGCCTCACAGTATTAATCACAGTGGGTGCCATTACCCAGTGTCATCTTTTTTCTATGTATCCAGCCATGATTGACTAGAGATCACGTGCCAGACAGTAATTTTATGCCATCCTACTACTGGTATCTCATTTCTGATGAGTTCTTTTTTTAAAGAAAATACCTTTTTTTTTAAGATTTTATATATTTATTTGACAGACCACAAATAGGCAGAGAGGCAGGCAGAGAGAGAGGAGGAAACAGACTCCCCGCTGAGCAGAGAGCCCGATGCGGGGCTTGATCCCAGGACCCTGGGATCATGACCTGAGCCGAAGGCAGAGGTTTTAACCCACTGAGCCACCCAGGTGCCCCAAGAAAATACCTTTTTTTAACTGTAGTACCACTTGAATCATTTTCTTTTTTTTTTTTTAAAGATTTTATTTATTTATTTGACAGAGAGAGATCACAAGTAGGCAGAGAGGCAGGCAGAGAGAGAGGAGGAAGCAGGCTTCCTGCCGAGCAGAGAGCCCGATGTGGGGCTCGATCCCAGGACCCTGGGATCATGACCTGAGCTGAAGGCAGAGGCTTTAATCCACTGAGCCACCCAGGCGCCCCTTGAATCATTTTCTTAAACGATTCTTTTAAAATTTTTTTTTAAAGTACTCTTTACACTTAACATGGGGCTTGAAATCACAACCTCAAGATCAAGAGTTGCATGCTCTTTGAGCCAGTGGGCTGCTCCCCACTAGGATCATTTTTAAGCATACATTTCAGTGGCATTAAGTATATTCAGAGTATCACGTAACCATTTCTGACAGGTTCTTCAGTGAGCTAATAGCTATGCACATTGCCTGGAGAATGTCATCTTTTGTGTTTTTCTCTGAGCAAGTCTTGATAAGGGCGGACCTTGCTCTCTTATGTTCCAATCCATTGCTCAATGTCAAACTCAAAAAGCTAAATCTCCCTTGCTTCTTTTTGCTAGCAAAAAGAACCTGGGTTGAATGTATACATTCTACCCACAAGCCTCTTTTCCCTTCCCCATTCTTCATTGACTATTACTGTCCTGAAAGCTTGAGCTAGAACCTCACTCTGAGGCAGGGCCTTTGCTCTAGGTCAAGCTAGCACTTTGTTAAGAGGAATAAGATTTTGTTATCTCTGTTACCCAATCATGAAACATTCTGTGGGGATTTTGAAGGGTTTTGGTTTAATCTTTATTCCCCAGCACTTCCCTTTCTTCCTTCCTTCTTTCCTTCCATTCTTTTTTTTTAAAGATTGTATTTATTTATTTGACAGACAGAGATCACAAGCAGGCAGAGAGGCAGGCAGAGAGGAGGAAGCAGGCTCCCCGCTGAGCAGAGAGCCCGATGCGGGACTCGATCCCAGGACCCCGAGACCATGACCCCGAGACCATGACCCGAGCCAAAGGCAGAGGCTCAACCCACTGAGCCACCCAGGCGCCCCTTTCCTACCATTCATAATTCATTCATTCATTTCTTTCTTTCTTTCTTTCTTTCTTTCTTTCTTTCTTTCTTTCTTTCTTTCTTTCTTTCTCTTTCTTTCTCTTTCTTTCTTTCTTCTTGAGAGAAAGAGAGCTCACATAAGCAGGGTTCAGGGGAGGGGCCGAGGGAGAGCAGAGGAAGAATCTCAAGCAGACTCCGTGTTCCGTGCAGGGCCTCACATGGGGCTCAGTCTCACAACCCTGAGATCATGACCTGAGTTGAATTCCAGAGTTGGACACTTAACTGACTGAGCCACCCAGGTGCCCCTCCCAAGTATTTTCCATGTGTATTTTTAAAATTATTTATATATATGGGGCTCCTGGGTGGCTCAGTGGGTTAAAGCCTCTGCCTTCAGCTCGGGTCATGATCTCAGGGTCCTGGAATCAAGCCCCACATTGGGCTCTCTGCTTGGCGGGGAGCCTGCTTCTTCCTCTCTCTCTCTGCCTGCCTCTCTGCCTACTTGTGATCTCTGTCTGTCAAATAAATAAATAAAATCTTAAAAAATTATTTATATATATATTTTTAAAGATATCATTTATTTGAGAGAAAGAAAGGTAGGGGGAGAGAGCAGGAGTGCATGAGTGGAGGGAGGGAAAGGGAGAGAGAATCCCATGCAGGTTCCATGCCCAGTGCAGAGCCCAATGTGGGGCTTAATCTCACCACTACAACTTGACTGTGAATCAAGCCAAAACCAGGAGTCAGATGCTCAACCAACTGAGCCACCAGGTACCCTGACTTTTACTGGGGGTTCTGAAATACACTTGGGTGGGAGGCACATGTGCTGGACATAGAGCCATGGAGCCTGCTTAAGATTCTCTCTCTCTGTCCCTCCCCAACCCTCTCTCTCCCTCTCTTAAAAAAAAAAAAAAAAAAAAAAAAAGAGCGCCCAGGTCTATTTGATTTCCTCTGGATTCTAAGACTTTTGCCCTCAACCCTTCTTAGATGACTATATGTTAGAGCAGTCCCCTCATCCTAGAACTGATAGTATGCCCTGTAGCCTAGGAATCTTCATTAGAGTGAACCTACAAAATGGATCTTGTGGGTAGTTCCTGTAATAACCTCACAGGATTCTGGTCAATTTATACCAGTTTATACAGAGCGTATCTTGCTTTTCATCTCCCTGTTCCCCATAGCTGGCTCCTACTGGAAGCACTTCCCTCCTCAACTCCATGGCTGTCATCCAGAATCCTGTGAAGGTCTGTGATCAGGTATTTGCCCTGATTGAAAACCTCACTCACCAGATCCGGGAACGGATGCAGGACCCCAAGTCTGTAGGTGGGTATTAATAGTACTATCTTCCCTTCAAGGTTTCAGGTATGGATGGGTTCCTCAGGCATTCCTGTGTCCTCTCCTAAATGTCTGAGACAAGGCAGTCTCATCCCTCTGATTCTACTGCAGATTTTTTAGGGTCTTTTTTTTTTTTTTAAAGATTTTATTTATTTGGGACACAGAGAGATATAGAGGGCACAAGCAGGGAGAGGGAGAAGCAGACTCCCCACTGAGTGGGGAGCCCGAAGTGGGGCTCAGTCCCAGAACCCTGGGATCATGATCTGAGCCAAAGGCAGATGCTCAACTGATTGAGCCACCCAGGCTCCCAGGGTCTTTTGTTAAGAGATAAAATGTTCAGTTCATTCTGACGGTCCATCTTCCTTCCAGACCTGCAACTCTACCACAGCGAGACGCTAGAGCTCATGCTACAGCGTTGGAGCAAACTGGAGCGTGACTTTCGACAGAAGAGTGGACGCTATGATATCAGTAAGATCCCTGACATCTATGACTGTGTGAAGTATGATGTGCAGCACAATGGGAGTCTGGGACTTCAAGGCACAGCAGAGTTGCTCCGTCTCTCTAAGGCATTGGCTGATGTGGTCATTCCCCAGGTGTGTCTCCTAGCCTAGGGGTATGGGCACTGGGAAAGGAAGGGGAGAAAAGCAGAAAGGAGGGATGGTGCGGGGCCCAGGGGAAAGAAACTTAAAGAAAGAATAAGCTGAGTTGCTGTAATTCTCAGGCTCTGCTCTGGCTCTGAGTAAGTCCAAGAGGCTAGCTGAGGAGAAACCTGGAGAGGGGGAATGTGGTGGATATGAAAGAAACCCTAGACCTGAGGTGAAGAAAAACATCATTTTGGGCCTAGGAATATGAGGCAAGAGGGAAACAAGATTCACTGAGGTACTTATTCCTGGCCTGTGGCCCCTAGGAATACGGGATCAGTCGGGAGGAGAAACTGGAAATTGCTGTGGGCTTCTGTCTTCCACTGTTGCGGAAGATACTACTTGACCTGCAGAGAACCCACGAGGATGAGTCTGTCAACAAGCTGCATCCCCTGTGAGGGAGGGCTGGGAGGGGTGCTGGATGGAGGGAGGGGTGTGTCAGGGAGCCCTTGGGGGAATACAGGTTGGGACAGCTTGGGGAAAGAACCAAGAATAGAAGAGATCCTGGGGTGGAAAGGAGAGAAGTATTTGAGATGGGAGGAAGGAGTTTGTGGAAGGGTGGGAAGAGGATTATGTGATGGTGTGAATGACTTAGCTCTTATCTCAGGTACTCCCGAGGGGTGCTCTCCCCAGGCCGCCATGTTCGAACACGTCTCTATTTCACCAGTGAAAGCCATGTCCACTCCCTACTCAGTGTCTTCCGTTATGGGGGTCTTCTTGATGTAAGGATCTTTTCTCCTCCAATCTATGAACGCTTTTTCCAGCATTTTTTTACTCTCCTCATGTTTCTCTTTTACTGCAAGCTTTCTGTATTCTCTTTGTCTCCCTGCCCCTTCCTTAACTCCCTTGTCCTTGGGCATTAGTTTTCCTCTTCTTGTGTTCTGTAGGAGACCCAGGATGCACAATGGCAGAGAGCTTTGGCTTATCTCAGTGCCATCTCAGAGCTCAACTATATGACCCAGATTGTCATTATGCTTTATGAGGACAACACACGGGTGAGGAACTAACAGGGTGGGGTGAGGAGGGTGCCCCCTCTTTCTCCTCCTTCCCATTTTAGAAAGAAACTTTCACATCCTTATAATTTGTAGAATTCAGCAAGGTGTGATACGGAAGCACAGCATGTCACAGAGAGGAACCTGGAGGTTCCTACTGGAACACATAAAGTGTTTGGGGATGTTGAGTGTTGAGCCAGAGAGATAACATAGAGCATAACTCTGCATTAGGGGGGGTATAGAATTTGGGTTGATGTTATAATGAGTCTTTTTCTCTCGAACATTAACACCTTTTTTAATCTGGCTCCACAAAGATAAGTGTGGTATTGTATGAATGTGTATGTTGTATGTATGTATTAAGTGTGCTATTGTATGTACTATAGCAAAGCTGAATGACTGTGGGAGATGGATGGAAAGAGTTGTGGAACTGGAGGTTAGAAAGTCATGTGGGGTGGTGGATCTCAAATAGTGGAGGTGAGGGAATGAGGATCCTTTAACACTAGACTATAGTTAAGGGGAAGATACAATAGATCAGCCCCAGAATGGAGTAATATATTGAAACCTCATCCCTGGGAGGATGTATCCTCTGAGTTCCTTTTTTTGTCCCCGCTTGGTCTTCCACCACCATATCCAACTTTTCCCACTGCCCCTTCATCTGTTGATGCCCCATAGGATCCCTTATCAGAGGAGCGGTTCCATGTGGAGCTACACTTCAGCCCTGGAGTGAAAGGTGTTGAGGAAGAAGGCAGTGCCCCAACTGGCTGTGGATTCCGTCCAGCTTCTTCTGAGGTGGGTCCAAGTGCTGGGATTTCAAATTAGAGGACTTAGGAACCAAGTGATGGGAAACTTGGAAAGAGTGTAAGGAAGTAAAAGGATTGGGGAGTCTGGGATTAGGAGGCTAGAGGCCATAAACACCTTTCCGATCTGTACTTGTTTTTGGGTAGAATGAAGAGATGAAAACAGACCAAGGCAGCATGGAGAACCTGTGCCCAGGGAAGGCGTCGGATGAACCAGACCGGGCATTGCAGACTTCACCCCAGCCCCCTGAAGGCCCTGGGCTCCCAAGGAGATCACCCCTCATTCGTAACCGAAAAGCTGGCTCCATGGAGGTAATGGGAGGGGCTTGAGAGAAAGAAGTTGTGGAATTGCTCATAGGGCAATATCCATGAATCCTCTGAATGCCCTTGGGGGATTCTTGGGACCTTAAGCAGAGTCCTCCTGTCCCTGGTAGATATGTTTTACTTCATTTCTCTTTCACAGCTGGTCTCCCAGTAAAGCTCCTTAAGCTGGCTGCTACTTCTGAGATTAAAGAGATGCTAGTGACTGGTACTTGAGATTAGGATTTTAAAAGATGAGATTGAGGAGGAGGCCTTTGGATGAATGTGAAAATGCTGTTCTTTAAAAGGAAATATAGTAGAAACAGCATGAACTCTGGGCTGAACTCCCAGTCTGATACTTACAAGCTGTGTGACCTTGGACAGGTAACTTCTCCAAGCTTCAGTTTTTCATCTATGAAACACAAGCAATATCTACCATATAGATGCTCAGTAAACAGTAACTATAATAATAAATCAATAGCTATTAAAGACCAGGCTCTCTCCATCTCTTTGTTGCCTTGGGTAAAATTATAGCTCAGATAGGAGCAATTACATGACACTTTAATATCATCCTTTTATCCCAGAAAGGGAAGCAAGTCTGAAGGGCTCTTTGTCTTCCCTCTGTTCTGATGAGGATGGTTATTGGCCTGGACCTATGTCCACTGTTTTTGGTGTCTGTCTCTAAGGCTTAGTTCTAGTTCTCTAGCCTAGAAGGAGGAACTATTGTAATGTCACATTGTGTCCAGCTAACTCTGCTGATACTTTTGTTCAGGTCTTTTTTCTTGGAAAGATTTTTTACCCTCTTTGACTCAGTGACACTCTTTTTGACACCATGATTTATCCCTGTCTCAGGAACTTTGTCTGATTGGGGTCCTGCTTTGACAGATAAATCTATTCACCTGGCTCTGTACCAGCTCTCTGTCTTAAAGGAATTGGTCTTTCATTTTAGGAATATCTCAGAAGAATCTGTAACCAGCTTATATAGGTTCAGCCAGAGGTTTACAGTTCAGATTTTGGAGAAAGCTAAGAAGACAAACTACAGTCTGTTTATTCTTTTCTTCCTCATTATTTTACTGTAGGTTTGATGTTATGAATACTTGGAGCTTCTTTAGGAGGGGTAGGCATTGTTTTCTCTTTGAGGTGTAAGTTAACTTTGTATCCGCAGTACACTAGTCCCCTACAGACTAACGTGGATCAATCAAGTGGACAAGAATGACGTGTAATCTTCCATCAGTAAACTGCTTCTCCACATCTCAACGTCTTCCCAATTCACATGGTCTGCCAGTCTCTCTGGCACTGTTGTGCTTAACCCTTTTTCTTCTTCTGGTTTAATGAGTCAAGAGACAGGCAAAGCAGAGCTCTCTGTGTATCATCTCTCAGACTTGGTGAGTTGGCATTTGTTCTTTCAAGCCTACAGAAAGCTTCCTGTTGTAATCACATTTCTTCGTCTTAGTTCCTTGTGTTGCTTCTACTATGGCTCATCCAGGATGGTGGTTGCCCAAGACATGTTCCTCAGCTTTGCAAGAAAATCTTCTCTCTACTCCTTGGTCACACAGCCTTTTAATATTAATATTTCCTTTTCTTATTCTATAGGTATAGGCATTGCTGTTCTTATCCTTATCAACTATAACCTTCCCCCACCCATCGCTTCTCCTCTCGTCACTTCAAATTTTTGGACAGTTTTAGAATACAGAGTCTGTGCCTTCATAGCAGCTGTGCCCTAGGTGATCATCCTCTCCAGACTTAGAACTAGCTCTGCCCAATGGGCATTGGGGCTTTTGGGAGCCTGGGAGTTAAAGGAGCTGTGACCGGCTTTCCACCCGGTCTGATTGCAGGTCATGAACATGCAGTGCACGGGGAACCTGGACCTGATCCCCTTGCGGGGACGGCGCCGCAGGAGGTCAGGAGACCTCCCCAGGCCTTCCCCAGTCATCGGCCTACAGCCCCGGGCTGTGTCCACCACTCACCTGGCATCCTGCACACAGGTGTCCTCCCCCTACTTCATCTTCCTTTCCTACCTCTGTCTTTGCCTTTTGGGACCTAGGAATTCAGAACACTATCTGGGGGTGGTGGGGTATGTGTGTGTTGTGTTTCGTGTGATTAGGACCTTTGTAGCCTTTTTAGAAATGTCTCCAGACATGGAAGGGAGGGTTTCCTGGTACAGATAAGAAACCAAGTGTGGTTGCCATAACCACAACTGTCCCATGGAAAGAGAAGGTAGCCAGACTTTCCTTCTTATCACAGCTCATTTATTGTGATTGACTTTCTGAGTCCTGTGGAGGGATACATAAGATTAGGGGACCCTTTTCTGCTGACAACTGAGAATGGTTGAATAATCATTTCTCAGATTTGGGATAGAAGGGCTGTGGGGACAGGCATCTTGGAAATACAAGTGCCATCTGGTATATAGGATTCCCTGGACAGTTCTGTCTGCAAAGTACGCTCTACATTCCCTTTCCATTCTTTCTCCCCATTAAAAAACCTTTGGTTCATCCAGACTTTCTGACATTGCTTGGCTTTATAGGGGCAGGAATTCGTGACCTGGGTTTTAGTCGTCTTGTTTGAGGTGGCAAAATGATAATATAGAGTCCTTTTTCTCCAGGTGCTTTCTGAGACTTCATCTTCGAGGCCTGGTGGCTATCGGCTCTTTTCGTCTGCACGGCCACCAACAGAGATGAAGCAGAGTGGCCTAGGTATGGTTTTCCAGCATTTCAACTGTAGTTGAGAAAGGGTGTCTGTCTGTTCTAAAAGGTCCCATTGTGGGAAACCTTAGTCGCGGGTGTTGGGGTCATCTAGTCAATGGAATTGTTGGGTGGGCTAGGGAGGATGAATTGGGAGAAGCCATGTTTAGGTGTGAACTTTGATCCCAGGTGATTGTTTCCATTTCCAGGAAGGTGTTTGTCTTTTGGTTTTTTTACACCCACCCCCATTTCTCTGGCTCAAGGGCATTTTTCTGGCTTCCCCTCTCACTCCTTATCTGTCCTCCCGGTCTAGCCCATACCTTAAGGGACCATGTAGACTCTGAAACTTCAGAGTTATCAGAGACAAAACTATAGAGGTACTTGTTACCTCCTCATAAGTGTCCTGTTCCTCATTTGGAGTTCTTGTGCCATGTCTTCCTCTGAGACCTGTGTTTATTATATCCCTGCTCTGGCCCCTCCTACCTCCATGCCCTCTCCTTCATCCTCTCCTAATTCTGTAATTTTTTTTTCCTTCCTTCCTGAAATTTGAGGGACATATCTGAGACTGGTGTAGTGGCAGAGGCTTCTCTCAGGACTTTGAGGGAATGTCTCTTGATTTTTTTGATTCCTGGAGAGGGGTGGAGAACATCATTCAACCTTTCCTAAGAACACAGACTGCAGGAAGGACCAAGCCTCAGAGGGTATTGTATTCTTTGGGAGTGGGGAGTGGTCCTTGGGAGGGGCTATCTTTGAATACAGGGCCTTGTGAGCCAGTAAGTAAAACTGGCAGTTTGAGACAATTGTGTGGGGTCTGGACTTGGTCCTCTGGCTTCTATCTTGTCCTATTATTCTTTATCTCCTTTCATTTTTCTGTTACTTTTGTCCTTGACACCCAATTTCCTGGCTGCAAAATGGTTAGCTTTTGGACCAGCAAGGGGGAAAAAGATTTTTGTAACTTTTCTGGCTAATTTTATGGAAGTAGGTTGCCTTCTGGATCCCTGAAATGAGGTAGATGGATTGGGACATGAAAAATAAATGACAAATATATAGATCTGTGACATGGACTTCTCTTCCCAGAAGTTTCAGTAAAGAATTGGTTTCAGGTAAGCTGAAAATGAGGATAGTTGTGTCTGGTCCAGTTAAGTAGGAATGCTGTCAAGAACGAGACGGAAGTATGAACGTGGTGCTGGTTGACAGAGGTGGTGGTAAGGTAGACACTACTGTCTGAGATGATCCTAGGCCTGGACAGGGCAGGATTGGCAGGACTGCACCAGAAAATTATTTAGTGAAGGAAGTAAATGTAGAACAAAGCTCTGGTGGTCTGAGATAAAGCCAGTTAGTTTCAGCTTCTCTGAAGAAAAGTAGACATATTTAATAGTCTTTATTACTCTCTGGAACCCCATTCTAGAGCCAATTTACATATGAAAGGTACAAAAGGTTGCCGCATAGAGCAGCAATCTTGAATTCCATATTATTAGCCATCGAAGTTCTCTTGATTTCTATAGTGGCCTTGAAATGCTAAGACCCCTGAAACCATGACCTGCCCCTTGTGGGCTCAAAGGAATTTGACCTTCTTTCCATTCTGACCGTCTCTGCTATGTTAAGTCCCCAAGCCACACCCAGGTTCTTGGCTAAGATGGATTTGGAAGTAGAGGGCCAAATCCCATAAACTTGGGTATCAGTCTCGCCTCTTCCTCCCACTCTGTCCTCATGACCTAGAAGTAGAAGAGAGGACTATAGAGTCCCAACCCTGTTCTCAGTCGTATTTGGAGCATTGACTAGTTTATTTGCTTCAGAGATTTTTAAAGTTTTATTTACTCCTCTGATTGGCAGTATAGCTCACTTTGCTTTCTTTGAACTTAATGTATAGGCTTTGAGCATAGGGCTTATAAGGCTTATAACTTTTGAGAGTAGAAAAAACATGGCTTTTTTTGTTGTTCCTATTTACCAGGTGCTCCTCCTTATTAGGGCCCTCAGCACATAGTAGGCATGCCCTCCATGTAATCACATGACTCTTTACATGTCTTCAATTTGTGTCTGTCTTCACTTCTTTCTTCTTGATGAAAAAATAGTTGTTTCTTTTCTGACTGAACACAATTGATCTTCAGAATCAGGAGACCTGGATTCCAATCTAGTTTAGCTTCTGGGAAACTGTATGAACTTGAGCAAATAAGATCCCTTTTGAATCTCAGTTTCTTTACCTCTAAAATGAGGAGACTGTACTGGATGATCTTTGAGTCCCTTCCAGCTTTAAAAATTCAGTGAGTCTCATACATACTTCTTTTCTTGAGAAAAGTGAAAAAGGCCTGAAGAGAGATAGAAGGAAGGGAATGGAAGGACTTAGGAGGAATTGGAACTTACGTGAATTTGGAATTTGAGCTGAGTGCTCAACACCTAGTCTCTAGTTTCAATCAAAGTTCTTTCCTTTTAAGTCTATAAGGGACTATAACTCTGGCTTCTTCAAACTCTATATCCAGGTTAAGGAGCACTGAATTAAATCTAGAGAGATCTACCTATTCTTTTCGTATTCCTAAGTTGTACCTGGAGAGCATAGTCTACCCCTTTCAGTAACTTTGACTCCCCTAATATGACTAACCCTGTATTTGTAGTGACCTCTTGTATCTACCATGTAGATCTTCAGCAGAATCCCTACCTTGCTTGCCCAGTGTAGCTATGGACAGTAGTGAAATCTGTTTGTGGTTATGCGTAGTGGCCACATATGGGTGGCTCTGAGTGACTATGTGTGTGTGTCTTCATGTTGGCATGTGAAGTTATGTGTACTTCTTGTGGTAATTGCAGCTTTGTGTGGCTACTAATGCACTCCCGGCCTTGCAGGCTCACAGTGTACAGGGCTGTTCAGCACCACAGTGCTGGGCGGCTCCTCCAGCGCCCCGAATCTTCAGGACTACGCCCGCAGCCATGGCAAAAAGCTACCACCTGCCAGTCTGAAGCACCGAGATGGTATGTGGGTGGGTTTTGGGGGGCAGCTCTTTTCATCATTTGTCCCCCAGCACAGATACAGCTCAAGAACCATTCATACTTAAGATGGCACTGACACTGGCCTTATAACAAGTTGCTTCATCAATTATAGAGGGGAGAAGGAACCAAGACCCCATCCACCCCTCCATTTGCATTCCCTCTCAGTGCAATAAATACTACTTATTTACGCTTATCCCTTCATAATCTCCCACATACAGCCCTGCTACATCAATTTACTCCACCTCTATATTCTTTCCTGGATTCTGGCCTGTAGGAGTAAGGACCAAGGATGAAGATCCATGGTCAGGAAAAATGCAGTGGAGTCTTGACTCAAATCTAGGAAATCAGGGATGGGGAAGTTGGTCAGTCAAGGCAGGAAAGATGATATGGAAAGAGATTGGGGGAAGGGATGAAAGGTTTTGCACAGATTTTATTTCCAAATGACCAGAAAGAGGATGTGGTGGTGAAATTAGGGTTGTCTGTGGAGCCATATTGTGGTAGAGATGACACATAGATTCCTACAAGAAGATTATTCCAAAGGAGAAGATTGAAATGTGGTAGTCAGGAATCCGAGGGGGGGTTGGAGCAGGTCATATACTAACTGTAAAGAAAAGAGTATATTGCGGGCAAATTCCAGAGCAGAGGGTGGGGCCAGGGGTGGGTATAATCCCCATGATGTCTTTTCTCCCCAGAGCTCTTGTTTGTCCCGGCCGTAAAACGATTTTCTGTGTCATTTGCAAAGCATCCGACTAACGGTACGTTTGCTTCTGACTCAACGTCATTCCCCCACATCATGTCACCTCCAGACACTTAACCTCTGAGTTCTGACACTGACTTTGCCTCTGCCTTCCACTATGTTGACAACATGCTGTCTCTGAATGAACCACTCACTAAGTGTCCCTCTTGGGGCATACCCTTTGTTGTGACAAACTTTAGTCTTGGCTGCAGCCTGGCTGCCCTATCTGTGTGGCAACTCAGGGACTTATGTCCATGGTCACCATCATCACCATTCTGTCACTTTTTTTAGCATCATCCCCAAAACATTAATTAAACCCTTCCCTTTCCCATCACATGACTGCTGGGCTTTATACAAATTAAACAATGGTTCTCCTTCGTAGGAAGAGAATAGTATTTTCTCTATCATCTCCATGTCTTCTTTTCCCCCCCCTACTCCTCAGCTTATACAATTTTGATCTTTCTGTTTTTTTCTCCAGCTCCTTGTTGGAGTGAATGACTCATTTGTTTCTCTTAAATGGAGCAGTGCTGCTGCAGTTCCCCATTCCCAAACATACCCCTATGGGTACTGGTCTTGAGTTTATGGTTTTCCATCACCATATTCTTACCACCTATCATTGTATGTACTTTATGTGGCTCTTGTGCTCCCAACATCTGCTTTATGTTACTACTAACTTAGGGTCTGGGCCTAGAAAATAGGAGCCCAGATTGATTCGGGATAAAGAGAGAAAGACGGGAGTAGGAGGCATAGGTAAAAGAAAAAGGGATTGTACCTTGAATTATACAGCCTAAATTACCATACAGTTTCCCTGTAGCCCCAGTCTACCTAAGACACTGGTATCTCAGAGAAGCTTGAAGTGCAAGTTGAGATGTCTCCTGGGAATTCTGGGGGAGGGGGGCTTGGGAATGAATAATATTTCAAAAATATTGAAAAATTGATCTAGCCATACAAAGGTGTGAGAGTTTAGAGATCTGTGTAAACCAAAAACTAAAGGGCAGTGGTCTCTTTGTAGGGTGTGGCAGGGCTTACTCCCTGTTTTATCCTTTATATTCTTAGTTTCTCTCTGTCTTGTATCTTGTTTTCAAGGTAAATCCAGTTTTCTTATACATGGTTTTCTTCTGTCCAAGTACTAAGTTTCTCCAAAGGAGGTAAAGTTAGCTTGGCTTCCTGGCTGGAAAAAACTCCTTAGCCAGTGGCAACTGCTAGATTTTAGCCCAATCAGGCCATACCTCTCCACTAGGCACTGCCAAATTTCCTTAAGTTGGCTAACCCCACCCCCCACCCCAGCTCCCATTTGTGCCTGTAATAGGAGCTCCCCTTTCAGAGTGGCATGGCTGTGCCTCCAGATATACTTTCAAATTCTTCTGGCCTTCATGTGCCCAGTCATCTCCAGAGTAGAACCTCATGCACCAGCCCCAGACCCACAGCCTGGGACTTGGACTTAGGAGAAGTGTTACTTAGAGTATAGAATCTAGTACTGGGAACTTGGGCTCCTGAAATCAGAGTTAAATCACTGATCTCCTAGCTCTTAGGCTTTGTGAGAAAAGATCTAGATTCATAAAACAGATCCTCAAACCTATTTATCTCCAGTTCCCCGAGGCCTTGATTAGCAGCCTCACCAGTTAAAGAAGAGATGAATTAATTCTACCAAAAGGAAGAGAAGAAGAAAGACCTGGATAATTCAGTAGAGTACAGGAGAGTAAATTCAAGATCTCTTCCAACACCCTGCATACTTCTTCAGGAGCCTTCTGGCCATTCTTCTTCTTGTACTTGAGTTTGGAAGCTGAAGTGCTTGAGAAGCCAGAATCTGGGATCTCCCTGCTGGTATCAGGAGAAATGTGGAGCTATTCTGTCACTTGCTGAAGATTACCTAGACTTAATTTGTTCCTAAGGACAATATGAGGGCTCTATCCCATGGTCAAATCTTGCTTGACTGACCTAGCAGTTACAGAGGGGATGCTCTGTCTGCAAATACTTAGGGCACATTAGTGACAACAATATGCACCCTACTGTCCCATTGTTATCATCTCTTTGCTGTGCTGTCTCGCTTTGAAAGAGCAGCTGGAAAACCGGAACCTAGCTTTGTAAAGGAAGCAAGGCAGTGCTGTCTCCTTACCTTAGTGACAGAACATCTCTCAGCCATCCCTGCTTCAGTAGTGGATACAGAGTCCCCCGAATCCTGAGATTTATATGAACATTTCTTTAAAATCTGTATATTTGGACAAGAGTAAAGGCTGATTAGTCAGTATCTTCATTTTCACATACTGATTCTGTTTTTTACATACTCTATTTTAAAGGACCTTTATACCTGGTGTCCTGTCAATCTCCTTTGCCATTTGCTTAACACCAGCCCTGTTTATGGCTATTGTAGAGTCTCGTCCAGAAGACCTGGCCTGAGCCTTTTTAGCTTCAAACTTGACCTTAATACCCGATACCATTCTTGACCCTCTTCTCTAAGTGACTTTGAATCTTTGCATCTCTATACCAACTTTATAAATACATTGGTTTGTGAAGCAGTTCATAAGTAGGGTTTCTCCAGGAACGAACAGGGGCCCTAGAGCGCTAATCAAGACTCTAGCTACAAAACTGCCCACTTACCCCCATCCAGAATGATGTGATTGCTGTCTGTAAACACTGACTTAATTATGCACAGTGAAAGAGGGGAGGGTCTTGCTGTATGATGATGTCTCCCTAGCCCCTTCTTTTAGACTCAGTGTGATGCTGACACTCTTCTTCCCTGCAAGAGATACCCAGTTGTTCTGACCACCTCTGCTTCTCTCTTAGCTCAACTTGGAGCTGAGTGGCCCCACCTCCCAGTAATGCTTGTGCCACTCAGTGCCCCCCTCATTGTCTCTCCCTCTTCTCTTTCTTTATCTTTGTGCTTCCTGCCGTGGTCCTCCCCCATCCCCTCCAGAGCTGCTGGATGACCAGCACCCTGTGGTCCGGTTGCTGCGCAGTTTTTCCTCTGACTGTCCAGGGGGCCGGCCAGTCTCCTTGGATGCCACGCTGGCGCATCACCTGCACCAGTGCTCCTACCACCTGCGCCTCTTCCGGAACTGGCTGCGCTCAGGCCAGGATGACCCCGAGTGCCTCTACGGTACCCCCTGCCACCAAGCTGGCTGCTGCCACTGCCCTGGCTGGGACTGACTGCTTTGCTTATTGCACTTCTGGCAGGAGAGCCCACCTATTCCTTTCTCCTATTTACCCTAAGGTTATGTGACTTGCATTTAGTTGCTTGGATATGGGATTGGGCCAGACTGCCTCGTAGCTGTAGCATTGGCTGCTCTTCCCCTTACTGTTTTCCTTCCTTATTGCCTCCTAATGTTACCCATTCCCAATTCTGTTCAGTGTAGGAGTAGTCTCTTGCCCTGAAATCTGTTCTTGTCTCTATAACCCACTGCTAATTACCATCCTCAGATGCAAACGTTTTTCTAGTAGCCATGCTGAGGAGCTAGAGACTGTACTTCTCTGCGCTCCTGTCACAAGAGTACGGGGGGTGGGGGTCGGGGCACGGAATTGAGGCACAAAGGTCTTAATTGAATCTTTGAAGCAAACAAGGGCCAGAGTTAGAAGATGGTCAGGTATAATCCTTTCTAATTACAGGTTTTACTCGTTAGTGAACAGGAGGCTATGTCTTACATAGATATTGCTGTCCTGCCTACTATTAGTTTCTTTAAGGAGTTATAAAGAAACATAGGAAAGATTGCAGGCTGAAACAATGCTTAAGATGACAATGCTTCTTGAACCTCCCATGGAAACATTTTTTTTCATAAACACGCTCTGGGATTAGGGTTATTATATTTAGGTTTACCCTTTACCCTAACCAGACTGGTGAACCTACATGGGGATTGTTGGGTTCAAATAGAGAATCAGAATTTATTCTTCTTCCTAGAGATTTTCCTCATTTTCCTGATGGAATAGAGAAATCCTAGCAAGTCTGGGGTTTTCCAGTGAGAGCAGAAGGGAGAAGCTTTGATGTGATGGAAATGACCAAGAAAGAACTTCCATCCCCCAGCCTGTTCATGCATGTTTTTTTCCCTTGGCTGAGCTTCATGTGTATTGCATGCTCTCCAGCTTGCTTCCAGATATTCTAGCCTTTCTACCCATATCCCAAATCTGCATGAATCCTTCTTCAGATTCCATGCCTTCCTCCTTAATCCGGTTCTCTTTACACAATCCCTAAAATCTGCTGTTTCTTCCCAGCTCCATGACCTCCCTACCTCATTTAGACCTTCAGTTTCACCCCTTACCTCTGGACTTTTGTTTTATTCCCCTAGAAAGAGCAAGAGCAATATAGGTGCTTACCCTATTGGAATTCTGTTGATGTTTCCATGGGTCATTACAGGCTCTCCATGGGTAGGATGAGAGGTGATTTGATTCACTTGGAGGCCTTAGCAGGCAGATTTCTTAGGATTCTGGAGGTGAGAAACAGACACCTGTAGGGGCTCTAAAGAGTTCCCTCTCCTGAAATCTTGGATACCCCATACTCCAAAAGCCACGGATTCTCCTGATGGCTCTCAGGGACTCACCATGCTTCCTTGGACAGTTGGGGTATATCTGGCAGGAATAACATTGACTTTGCCCACCTCTTTTCTAATAGGATTTGAAGGGTGTTCCATGGTGCCTACCATCTACCCCCTGGAAACACTGCATAATGCCCTTTCCCTGCGTCAAGTGAGTGAATTCCTAAGTAGAGTCTGCCAGCGCCATACTGATGCTCAAGCACAGGCATCTTCTGCAGGTATGGAGAATACTCTTCTTATCTTGTACCCCTGTCTCTGTCCCTATTCCTATCCTTCCTAGAATGTGAGTAGTAAATTAAAAAGATAGGCGCTCCAAAAAGACACAGAACTAGCCTTGAAAAATTATTTAATTGCATAGGCCATTCAACATCATAACTTCCCAAGTTAATTTATAAATTTAACATGATTCCAATAAAAATGCTGATGTTTTTCTAAAGTTAGACAAATTGAAAAGTTTTGAAAAGGTGTTTTTTTATATATATATTTTTTCATTTGAGAGAGAGAGAGTGTGTGTGTGTCTGTGCACGAGCTGGGGGGAGGGGCAGAGGGAGAGGGAGAAGCAGCTCCCTGCTCAGAGAAGGGACCCAGGGACTGGGTCGATCCCACATGGGGCTCAATCCCAGGACCCTCGGATCATGACCTGAGCTGAAGGCAGGCACTTAACCAACTGAGCCACCCAGGCACCCCAGAGTAATGAAAAGCTACTAGCCCTATCAGATTTTATAACATTCCATAAAACTTCTATAACGAAAACACTGTTGTATTCATACATGAATAGAGAGAGACCAATCAAACAAAATAGAAGACCTAGAAATAGATGAAGTTAGCATTTCAAAATATTGGGGAAAGACAGACTTTTTTTTTTTTAAGATTTTATTTGATTATTTGAGAGAGAGGGAGCGAGCACGAGGGGCAGACTGAGAGGGAGAAGCAGGCTCCCCACTGAGCAGAAATCCCCATGGAGGGCTCAATCCCAGGACCCTGAGATCATGACCTGAGCTGAAGGCAGACACTTAACCGACTGAGCTACCCAGGTACCCCAAGATAGATTTTTCAGTAAGTAAAGTTGGCACAGCTAAGTGGTCATTTGACAAAAATTAAAATTGAAATCATACTTCATGCTATATATGAAGATATTTGTTCATATATATATATATATATATGAACTCCATATGTTTCAGAAATCTAAATGTAAAAATTAAGCAGTAGGTTGCTCCAAGGGTTTGTCCTTCACAGAAACACCAAAAAATCAATCAAAAACTATCAGAATCAGCTTTGTCAGACCTCTGGAAAATAAAAGTTTGTAGCAACCAGAAAAATGCTAAATCAAGAAAGAGGCACCCTAAGAATGGCAGGAAGCTTCCTATCATTTTTCTTTCTCTTATCCTACCCTCTCCCCAACCTCAACAGCAGTCTTAAAGATAGCAGAGCATGGAGTCAGTGTGAAACTCTGGTCCCTAGTTCCTAAAGGAGCAGAACAGACTTTATTCTCAAAGAATTGTGTTTGTCTAACTTATCCACTCCAACTTGTCTAACTTGAAGAACTGTCACAAGGTGCTTACCTTTGTTTCATTGAATCAGGGCAGGAAAGTAGCTATGCAGAAAGTGTCCCCTGAAAACATTGTAAGGCAAATGAACAACATACTGCTGCCTGGGACAAAAATTATAATTGAGGCAGACAATAAGTGTGCTGAAAGCCTGGAGTGAAAACTTAGGTAGAGAGTTTCTTTGGAAAATTAAGGCATTCAAGGGATGCCTGGGTGGCTCAGTCAGTTAAGCGTCTGCCTTCAGCTCAGGTCATGATCCTAGGATGAAGTCCCTTATCTGGCTCCTTGATCACTGGGGAGCCTGCTTCTCCCTCTGCCTGCTGCTCTCCCTGCTTGTGCTCACTCTCGCTTGCTCTCTCTCTGACAAATAAATAAATTAAATAATTAAATATAAATATTTAATAAATAAAATATATATAAATATATAAAAAATATATAAAAATATATATAAAATATATATTTATTTTAAATATATATATTTTAAATATATATATATTTATTTAAAATTTAATTTTAAAATAAAATTTAAATATAAATTTTAAATATATATTTAAAAAATATATATATAAAATAAAAAATAAATAAAAATTAAATAAATAAATTTAAAAAAGGAAAATTAAGGCATTCAAAAGCCCCCACATATACTAGGGAAGTTAGAAGCCATGTGCATGCCTAGGGAGGGACACAGGCACAGAAAACACATGAGACTACCCTAAGATTTTTCCTCTGCCCGAACTCTAGACTCAGTGCAGGCAAGAATTGAAGGCTAAGAAGGATTTGTAAACAGTCTAGCTAAATGTTGAAGGAATACCTCAACAAAGAACCAATCTGCAAAGACAGAGAATTCCTCTCCCCTCCCTTGGCCTCCTTTCCCCCCATCTTCCTCTTCCCTTAATTTGGTTCTTGGCAGTCAAGGAAATTCTTGTCAGAATACTAGCTGTGGGGCACCTGGGTGGCTCAGTTGATTAAATGTTTGACTTCAGCTCAGATCGTGATCTTGGGGTCCTGGGATCAAGCCTCGTGTCAGGGAGTCTTTGGGGAATCTGCCTCTCACTTTTCCCCTCTCTCTGCCCCTCTCTCCCTGCTTGTTCTCTCTCTCTCTGTCTCAAATAAATAAAATCTAAAAAAAACCCCAAAAAACAAAAAACCACTAGCTGTGAAATAAGCTAAAGGAAAGCGATTTCAGAGACCACATATGACAAAGACAGACGTAACAAAAATAGCTTAGAAAAGTCAATAAACAGCCCCAGCCCACAGCAAACAAGCCCTGGCGGGGGGGATTAATCTGATATTCAGAGTTAGCAAAATTACAATGTTCAAAATGTCCAGTTTTCAATAAAATATGCAAAGATACAGGACAGTATGGTCCATTTATAGAAGAAATGAACAGAAACAGTTGCTAAAGAAGCACAGATGTTAGACTTACTGGGACAAGGAATTTAAATCAGCTATCTTAAATATGTTTAAAGAGCTACAGGGAATGATAGAGAACTGAATGAAATCAGGAGAATGATGTCTCAGCAAATACAGAATATCATTAAAGATATAGGAAATATAAAAAGAAACCAAACAAATTCTGAGAGTGAAAAGTATAACAGAAATGCAAAATTCACTAGAAGGTGTCTTAGAAGATAGAAGCAGGCGAAAGAAAGAGTCAGCAAAATTAAAGATAAGTCATTTGAAAATGTCTAGTCTGAAGAGGAGAAAGAAAAAAAGAACAAGAAAAAAAATTAACAGAGCTATAGAGATCTGTGGGACACCATCAAGAATATGAACATACACAGTTGCCTGGGTAGCTCAGTCAGTTAAGCATATGCTTTTAGCTCAGGTCATGATACTGGGGTCCTGGAATCAAGGCCCACATCAGGCTCCTTGCTCCTCGGGGCACCTGCTTCTTCCTCTCCCTCTGCTCCTCCCCCCAGCTCGTGCTCCCTCTCTTTCTCTGTCAAAACAAAAACAAAAACAAAAACAAAACAAAAAAAAACAGCATATGCATGATCAGAGTCTCAGAAGGAGAAGACAGAAAGAGGCAGAAAAAATATTTGAAGAAATAAGGGCTCTGAAGAGCCCTTTCTCAACTTGGATAAAGACACAAATCTATACATCCAAATAGTTCAAACACCAACAAGGATAAATTCAAAGAGATTCCCACTGAGATATACTATAATCAAATTGTCAAAAGACAAAAAATCTTGAAAGTAGCAAAAGAAGAGCAACTTATCGCATACAAGGGATCTTTAATAAAATTAACAACCAATTTCTTTTTTTTTTTTTAAGATTTTATTTATTTATTTGACAGGCAGAGTGAGAAGCGTGCTCCCTGCTGAGCAAGGAGCCCCATGTGGGGGCTTAATCCCAGGACTCTAGGATCATGACCTGAGCCAAAGGCAGATGCTTAACCCACTGAGCCACCCAGGTGCCCCTAACAACCAATTTCTCATCATAAATCACAGAGGTAGGCTGCCTGAGTGGCTCAGTGGGTTAAAGCCTCTGCCTTCAGCTCAGATCATGATCCCAGAGTCCTGGGATCGAGCCCTGCATCAGGCTCTCTGCTCAACAGGGAGCCTGCTTCCCTTCCTCTCTCTCTCTGCCTGCCTCTCTGCCTATATAAAGTGCTAAAAGAAAAAAAATGTCAACCAAGAATTCTTTGTCTAGCCAAACTGTTAAGAAATGAAGAAGAAATTAAGACATTACCAGGTAAACGAAAGTTGAAGGAGTTTTTCACAAGTAAAACTGGCTTACAAGAAATGCTAAAAGCTTTTTGGGATGAAATAAAACGATACTAGATAGTGACTTGATACCATACCAAAAAATGAAGAACACTGGTAAAGGTAATTACATTGGTAAATCTAAAAGTCAGCATTTCTGTATTTTTGGTTTGTAACTCCTTTTTTTGTTTCATCATAACTTAACACACAAATGAATAAAATAGTCATTACAAGTCTGTATTAATGGGCATGCAATACATAACGATATAATAATTTGTGACAATAACATAAGGTGAGGACTGAGCTTTATAGGAGCAGAGTTTTTATGTTACTGAAGCTAAATTTTCCGTCAATTCAAACAAGATTGTTATAAATTCAGGATATTAATTGTATCTCCATAGTAACCACTATAAAATATCTAAAAAATGTACAGAAAAAGAAATAAGAAGGGAATCAAAATGATACACTACAAACAAATCATTTAAACACGATGAGGGGTGCCTGGATGGCTCAGTCAGCTGGATGTTTGCCTTCAGCTCAGGTCGTAATATCCAGGTCCGGGGGTTGAGCCCTATGTTGGCCTTCCTACTCAACAGGGAGTCTGCTTCTCTCTTTCTCCCTCTGCTACTCCCCACTACTTGTTCTCTGTCTCAAATAAATAAAATCTTAAAAAAAAAAACAAACCCACAAAGATGTTAGTAATGGAGGAAATGAGGAACAAAATACAGTCTAAGATATATGAAAAATAGTGAAATGGCAGAATTAAGCCCCTCCTTATCATTGACTAGTCTACAATGTAAATGAATAAAACTCTCCAATTAAAAGGCAGAGATTAGCAGAATGGATTTTTTTTAAGAATGGATTTTTTAAAAGATTTATTTATTTATTTTAGAGACAGAGAGAAACTGAAGATGGGGAGTGTGGAGGGACAGAGGGAGAAGGAGAGAAGTCCCAAGCAGACTC